GCGTATCTGAGCTGGCCACGAATGCTGAACCTTTTCCCCCGGGGAGAATAAAACTCTCAGAGGTTCAAATTCACCCAGAACCACATGTGTTGATCTGAGAGCAGAACTCTGCAACCCTCACTCGCATCAGCGAGCCTTACTAACACGTGATTTACACTCTATTCCATGCTGTGTGACTTTGGGCAAATAACTTCCCTTCTCAGTGCCTCTGTTTCCCCTCCCATCCTTCGTCTGTCTTGTCTACTTAGGTTGTAAGCTCTTCAAGGCAAGGATTGTCTGCCACTATGTTTGTAGAAGTACCTAGCACAAAGGGGACCTAAAATTGCTTGGGACACCAAGGCTATGTCTACACCACTGGAACTATAGAGGCATAGCTACAGTGCTGTAGCTACTCCAGCAAAAGCCTGTAGTGTAGATGCATCCTATAGCAATGGAAGGGATTTTTCTGTTGCTGTAGGAACACTGCCTTCCCGAGTGACAGTAACTATGCTGACAACAGCATTCTTCTGTTGACCTAGATGCATCTACCCCAGGGATTAGCTTGACATAACTATGGCGCTCAGCGGTGTGGATTATTCCCACCCCGAGAGTTGCAGCTATGGCGACTTAAATTTGAAGTGTAGACCAGATGGTACGTGCTACTCCAATATAAATAATAAACCGTCAGAAGTAGGAATCCCGTTGAAGTTGATAGTTTATGTGAGCAAAGGTTGCTGAAGTAGGTAGTTTGCAAAGAATATATATTTTGGTAATGTGCAACATTTTAGGGATATTTTGCAAAATTTATTTAAAAAGAACACTCCAAAATTGAAACTATTTTCTTAGGAATACCTTTTCTTTTTTATTTGGCTTTAAAAAATAAGAGTCAAAAGTCCATTAACATTGACATCAAGCAGGTCAGGAAAGAAAAGAAAATCAATTTAGGCTACGAATTAAAGTGAAAAATAAATGTGTAAAAAATGTAAGAAGCAGAAATCATAAATTATATTTTTTCATTAATATAATTAATCTCTTCCCAGCCCTGGAAAATGTTTCAAGAGATTCATTTGTTATTTATTGTTAACAGCATGTGAAACATGACATTTTGTATAGCATTGTTTTTAGCAACCAAGGCCCTGAACCTCCAAACACATTGCTATATGCTGCAATATAAAGTATGAACTCAGGGAGACAACACCCATGCTTTAAGTTAAGCATGTATGTGTTTGAAGTATCGGGCTTTATTTATTAATTTAAAAATGGCACAAAGAAAAACTCTCTTTAAAAAAAAATAGACCACATACTCCCACTGAACTGTGCATGGTCATAATATAAACAATATTTATATTGTAATTGCAATGCACAGACCAGGAAATTGTAGTTACCCAGTTATCTTTTGCACTGGGTTGAAGTCATTCTATTAAAGCAAATGTCCTTATTTTAAACAGAAACCTTACAAAGAAATGAAATATTCTGATTCGTTAAAATCTCAGGTTATGAACAATATAGAGCATACACAAATGCATGGTTCATGAGCTATTAAAATTGTGGTTTAACAATGTTTTCCCAAAGAACATCATAATAAGATGTTTCTTATTTTCTTACTAATTGCCATTAGGGGGTTTCTTGCACATTCCTCTGATACCTGGGTTCCTCTGACTGTCTGCGGTCAGAGACAAGATGCAGCCACTACTAGCCAGGGCTAGTGCCTATAAAGCCTAGTAGCTGAAGTGCCTTCAGCATTTGCCTGAGTTGTGGCAAACCTGGCACTCTACTAGTACCTTAGCGGTTTGTTGTACTGCAGTATAAAGGTTAATTAATAATAGACTGGATGAACCACTGTACTAATTTGACTTGGTTCCTATGTTCCTATATATTGATCCTGTAAATGCTTATACATGTAACTCACTCACAGGTAAAATTACTCCTGTGCATAAATGTTTGCAGAATTGATCCCTACATTCTATTTTTTTGTTGACTCGTACCATGGACCTTATCCTGCATGTATACCATAGGCAATGGGACTTTTCTTACCCTTTTTACAATAATGTAACAAATCTATGACAATCCATTATTTTACCACATGGCCCCCTTATGGTGACAAGTGCGGGAACAGAACACATGTCCTTTTGTAGTCTCCGACTACCTGAGCTCAAGCTAAAGGAGATTCTTCACTGGCTGTTAACAGTATAGGTCATTGGCTATGCGGTTGAGCCTTTCTGATGTTATTCAGTAGAGGAAAGGGGTACAAATATACACAAGCCTGTTGCAGAAAAGAAATGATAAAATAAATGATGGCTTAGTGCAAACAATAATTGTTATACCACTGACACGGTGAATGGTTTGTACTAGCTTCATATGAACTGCAGATAGTTTGGGCATGCCATATTAAAAGGTATTTGTGGGGGTCTCACTTAAAATGATTCATGCTAGTGGATTAAGAAAATTTCACATCTATTACATGTTTTTAACCTGCCATTTATTCAAGGTTAAAATTATGAAGTTGCAAAGTGGAATGGTCCATAAGGCAATGACAATCATTTTCCCAGCTGATCTAAATCAATGTAGCTCCATTGATTGAGCGTGCTAGTTGGAAATGCACCACCTACTCTGCACTACTTTACATAGCTAGAGCACTTAAAGCAATTATATCCTTGATAGAGCTTGTATCTATCAGACAAGACTATGCATTCTCCAAGATGCTTTCTTAAATCACTGTGATGGATTGTCTGAAGGCAGGAAAGATGATAATAATGTACTATATTTACAAAGATCTATACCAAAAAAACAAAACAAAACACAACCCACTTTGGAGCAATGCTCAACAGAAGGCCTCAAAATATAAGTTGTTCAGTACAAGGTTTTATCGGAGTGGGAATACATATGAGCACAAAAATAAAACATTTTGTATTCTACATTATATTACAAAGGCAGACAGTCAATAAATAGATCAATAAATAATGGGAAGCACAGAAGGGCTTGCGTGGATGGCGGTGAAACTGGTTTCAGTTGGTGCTCGATAAAGTCCTTTGTGTTCATTCCCATGAAGTGTCAGAGTCAGTTCTTTCAAAGACAAGTCTCTTATCACTTCCAGTGAAGATAACTTTGCCTTAAAAGTGTAGAACAGATGCAGGACAGTACAGTAGGCTCTGGCGGAGGCTGGGGGAGTCAACGTCACTTACACTTCCCCAAGAATCTGACAAATTTGCAGCTTAATATAAATAAAGTGACGGGCCTATTGTTTCTCAGCTCCGACACCTTCTTATCACCATGATTTGTTGCAGAAGAGTGGCGGAAACATGGCATGTGACTCCATCATATATAGTTTAAGTGTGTGTGTGTGCGGGAGCAATGTCTTTATGAATTGACAACTTCAACACGTACAGAAAGGAAAGATCCTCTCTGCGTAGTTGGGGTGGAGGGATTTCCTTTTCTGCCTAGGTTTAAATAGACTAAGCACAGTGTTACTTGCCATTTGAGTTGGATTATATAGATTTAGTTATACATAACATATTAGCCACATGGGGGGCAGGCTCCCAGCCAGTGTAAATCAGTGTATCTTTGAGGACTTCAATAAAGCTACTATGCAGATTTTGCCCAGCTAAAGTCCTGGCCCTTGATATGCAACATGCATCAAATGTGGAATTTTACATCCAAAGTCAGCAGCTCTGTTATCATGGGCGGCTCCAGGCACCAGCGCACCAAGCACGTGCCTGGGGTGGCAAGCCGCGAGGGGCGGCCTGCCAGTCGCCGTGAGGGCGGCAGTCAGGCTGCCTTCGGCAGCATGCGTGCGGGAGGTCCGCTGGTCCCACGGTTTTGGTGGCAATTCAGCGGCGGGTATGCCAAAGGCGCAGGACCGGCGGACTTCCCGCAGGCATGCCGCCGAAGGCTGCCTGATGCTGTGCTTGGGGCGGCAAAATACATAGAGCCGCCCCTGCCTGTTATATACAAGGGATTCAATAATAAACAAATGGTAGACACATTTCTTGCTTTGTGTAATAGCAAAGGGGCAGTCTGCCAGAGCACTGCCCCACCTAACATTGCAGATAGGGGCATTAGAAGAGGGGAAATGTCCTTTCTTTTCATGGCTTCCATCCCTCTCTTTGGATACTGCTAAACTATCCCTGCTAAAATGGCTTTTATGTTTAACCCCAGGTTGGTAAAGATATTTCTTAAAGAGCCAGGGTAAAATTTTCAAAAGCAACTAAATGACTTAGAAGCCTAAGTCCCACTGACTCTTAATGGGGGTGATTGTTCTGAAGAGTCAGATTTTCAAAAGTATTGAGGTACCTAAAGATCTAGATAGACACTTTTGAAAATCCCAGTAGATACCTAAGCAATTTAGAGCCTAACTCTCAGTAATTTCAATGGGAATTAGGCACCTAACTCCTTTAGGTGCTTTTGAACATCCCAGGATCTTTAGGCACCTAAGTACCTTTGAAAATCTGGCCCTAAGTGCTTCCATCTGTTTGGGAAATGGAATTTAGGCTCTGAACTCACTTTAAGCATCTACCCATGACGTTTGCCCTTTGAAACGTACCAGTTTTCACCAAATGGGATGATTTTGCAAAATGTTTTACTTGGTTATTTGACAAAGACTTTATCTCTCCATCTTAGCCAATTATTCAATCCAAACTCTCAAGTGGGTATTACATCAGGTTCAAGGTTTAACTGACTGCAAATTTTAATGTGAACACAATCACTTCAAAACTGTTTTAACTGACTTCAAACACGACGCATAAATACCCAGGAACATGCCTGAGAATAAAATGCTAACTTGGGCTCGTGGGGGGAAGGCAGGGATGGGAATGCACCTATTAGAATATGTCATAATATAAAGCATGTAACATATGACTTTATTATGTTCATTCAATCCATGTTTTAATCCCTGTAGTGGGGATGCATTTCAAACAATGTCCTTGACCACAACACATTTTTTTTAAAGAACTAAAATCCATGAGTGTTATTCCATGGCATTAAAGCTGTCTATTTTGGGGCAAAAAACCCCAGCAACCCAATGATCTGGTTTTCCTTCTTTATTTTGTTTATGAAGGAAGCTTCTCTCATAAGAAGCGAAACAGCAAGAAGAAGCAAGCACTGGAACAAAATATACATTCCGTACAATCATATGACCTGCCCGTTCCCTAAGACATGAAACATACAATTATCTGTACACGCCTCATTAAATAACCTTATTAAATAGGAAATGCAAAATGTACAAATTTACAGACTGAATTATTAAATACTCCCCTGGTGCACGCATGGGGCATGCATTCCTTTCTACTATCGGCAGCCACACTCTGAAACTGCCATTCCCTCATATTTGAACTTGTAAGTAACCACCCCTGCGTCTAAGTAGAGGATGGAGATGGGATCAAGCTTGGTAGGCACACAGCAGGCTTTGGAAGTTTTCTGAGGATTCTTCAGGTGAACCAAAGTCTGGACAATGGCGTGTTTAGTTGGCGTGACGTGTTCAGTTAAAGGGTAGGAGCACACTCCCCGGCACTCGTAGGCTTCATATCCCGTCGGTGCGATGATCCAGGAATCCCAGCCAATCTCCTTGAAATCGATATAGAGTGGAGTCCTTTTGCAGTAGTTGCCCTTGGCGTTCCTCCGGATCCGGGCAGTGGAGTCATAAATGATGTTGGAGCGCATCTGGAGCAGCGCCTCTTCACCTGGCCCATTGTGGAAGTTGCCCATGCCCAGGTTCTCCAAATCCAGCAGCTGCTCATGGTCTATCATTTCGTCCAGTTCCTGCTTCTCCTCCTTTTTGTCATTGCTCAGGTCATCTGAGAACACAATCAACAGAGGCACATGCTTGGCCTCGGAATTGATGTCAATATCGAGTTTCCCCTCTCCGTTTGGCTCCTCCCCTTCTCTGCTCTCTATCTGCACTTCCAGCCTGTGAGTGGTCAACTCTGACCTACGCCAGTGCCTCATGGCATCTGTGATATCAAAGGTCTCCCACTCACTGTTGGTGCCGTAGATCTGCCTGGATGCAAGTGCCACCATTTTTCTCTCCTCTCCTTCTCTCCCCGCATGGTTGTTCTCCAGTACTTCAAAAATGGTGACTTTCCTATCCAGCCCATCATAGAGTATTCTGTCCCGCTCCACCAGTGTGTAGAGTCTCAGCTCTGCCATCGTGATCTCTTCATGGTGAGGGATGGAGACGTTGAAGAGAAGAGGGTATTTCCGGATTCCTGTGACACCAATAGGGTGGGAAGTCAGATCTAGAAATGACAAAGATCAACGTAAATAAATACTTTGGAACTGCAAATATTTCCAGCAGAAATATGCATGCATGGAACTCAGCCTTTCATGACTTGTATTCCTTGGTTTCAGTGTGAACAGTTACAGGAAAATTATAATAAATAGGAATAATGGATTGTCACACAAAATTTTATTCGTGTCGTCAGTGAGGTGGATGATTTGTATTGGATCTTCAAGGAAAACAAGGTCAGATCATGATAATAGCAATGAACTTGGATTTATAGCTCTCTTTCTTCCAACGTGGCTACTGAAGTGCTTTATAAAAGGTCCTTACTGATTGTACACATTATATTTATTGTATATAGGAATCGCTTTGCCCAGCACTGAAAGGAAGCCACCTCTGGAGTGCAAATACAACAGCTGTTTAACATGTGAATATCAACATTACACAAAATTTTAGGACAGGAAGTGAAGAAGAATACTACACCTCTACCTCGATATAACGCGACCCGATATAACATGAATTTGGATATAATGCGGTAAAACAGCGCTCTGAGGAGGCGGGGCTGTGTGCTCCAGCGGATCAAAGCAAGTTCGATATAACGCGGTTTCACCTATAACGCAATAAGATTTTTTTGGCTCCCGAGGACAGCGTTATATCGGGGTAGAGGTGTATATCCAACTGAAGGGACATGGGGGATTGGAGATGGGCAGAATGACACAAACTGTTTCTGCAGCAAAAGTAGGCTGCATTCGTATCTTTTTGTCTATTAAGAGGGGATCTGTCTTTCTATGGAATATCCAGTAGATCCCCTCATAAATAGTGTGATCTCCTTTACCTTCAATTAATCCTATTTACAGTGCCACACTCCTCAGGTATATATGGTGAATTTGTATTTTCACTGGTGATCTGATACAACACATTAAAATCCCTACTGCTGATCTGCTGTCTCTGATGAAGTGTTGCATAGATCTCCCAATGGAAACAAATGATACCATAAGCTTCCACCAGTGTCTGAAGACTGCAACCACCAAGGATAGAGACAAGTTGTTTAGGGTGATGCAAAGGCTTATAACTAGGCGAAATGGGAAGTTAGGTCTTGATCCAAAGCCCTCTGAAGCCATGGAAATATTCCCATTTTGATGTCAATAGGTTTTGGATCTGTCTTAAAAGGAGCAAAAGAAAACTGCTGTACTTACTTAGGAGCTTTTGAGAGTATTAATTAATCAAATGTATAACAAGCAAATAATCTAATCTAATCTAATCTAATCTATCTATGTTTATACATACACCATCTGCATTTCTTCATTCATATAGGAAATTTAGAAAAATGTTTGTATTTATTGCTGCATTTCCCTAATATCAATAACAACCCTGAAACCAAATTAGGAAATATAGACTTAGTGGACATGTCTACAAGGGTGGAGGGAATGGACTGCATGGAATTTGTACATTTTCCCATCTCTGATTTCTATGACTCTGGGATTGATATATTTATGGAAACATTTGGTTGTCACAGCTACAAATATTTGCCCTGAAGTAGCAAAGCACTTCAGCACATGAGTAGCCCTTGACTTTAATTGGACTTCAGTGTTTTCTGATGTTTGCAAACCCATCTGTTGTTTAAAAAGAAAAAATATCGAAGAGGCCAAACATGAGAGGTCCCGTTTGCCCTCTCTTCCCATTGACTTTAGTTGTGAGTTTGAAAGCACTCAGAATCCAGATGCATGTCTAGTGAGCGTGACTCACTTCAAAACTGGAAGTGGCATCAGAACTTAGAGTGACCTCGAGAGCTTCCCAGGCTGCAGGATGCTGGAGAACAAGTCCACTGTCATGGGGATATGTATGGTCTTGGGGTGGGGAAAAGTCAGCTGACTGCATAGAAGACGGACATGAATAATTCATTGGAAGGGGTTAGGGACACGCCCTTATGGGAAACTGGGTGTCTCACTTCCTGATTAGAGAGAAAAATAAGTCAGGATGGGCATCTGCCCACAAGACTGGCTGAGCAGGAAAACTCAAAGGGTCAAATTCCCCTCTAACTATTACCTATACATCTTACTTGGTGTCAATGAGGATGCACTGGTGTCTGAAGGAGGAGGATTTAGCCCAGAAAAGTTTATTTAAATTTGTAAGTGATGACCACATTAGAATCATATCTGCAATGGAGCCGGACTGCTTCATGAGCTAAAACTGCTAAGGAGCAATCGTCATAAAGTTCTACTGCTTCCAGCCATTCAATTTCCATTATTATCTTCTACTAACACAAGCAGATAAGTATAAAGATTGCATTGTGTGATCTGTTCCATCTCTTTTATCAATGTAATTGCAAGCACTTTATTTTTAACCATCTAAAAGGCCCATAAGACATAAAATTCAGGTTCCCTAGTTGTTATTGACTTTCTTGACATACAAAGGAGAGAGAATTAAAATAAATCCTCTGTACTGTATGTGTGCATGTGGAAAGCATTTGTATTAGCATATGAGTATCTGAATCTATGCCTGTAGTTCTGGACTAGAAGAAAGGACAGGAATCTGCCAAGAAGGTAGGAAGTTATCCTGAGTTTGACATGGCCATTGCAGACTTCATGTAATGGTGAAAAGGATGCTTGGCATCTCTGTTGTGTTTACAAAAATGAATGGAACTGTGCATTGTTCCATTTACTAAAAATAAAGGATGACTGCTGATTTACACTAGTAAAACACATAGGATTTCCCCGTCAGTATACTGTACTTGCCCAATTATAGTCCATTTATATTCCTGATACTTTTTCATCTAAAAATTGCAAGGGTCAGAAAAGGACAATACTCATTATTCCATATTCCTTCAGGGCCAGATTGTGAATGCCTTCTCTACGCTCATGAGCAGTCACTCATCCCATGGTCTTCAGTACGCATAAGTGGTTTGCAATCCAGCCCTCAGTCAATTAAATGTTATCTATATGTTGAAGAAATGCACAATTAAAGTGGATTTGAACTTTAAGGCAGAGCCTTTTAAAACCAGAAACATGTAGCTGGATAAGAATGCACACATCTGAATGAGGTATAGATTAGCCCATAATTAGTCAGAGCATCTAGCTGAGTTGTCAAATTTAGGTCATATATACTCAGTGTTTGCTCTGTTATCTTGTAGTTTTGGAGTTCATCAGTAAAACTGAGACTGGCATGATAGAAGAGCCATTTTTATTTGAATTATCACACGTAAAGCTGAGTTGTTAAAAAAAATCATCTCAATCCTACTGGCAAACAGAATGTTTCTGGGGCATAAATGATTTGTTGAAAAGTCTTTTAAATATATAGCCTACATTGTTACTCATGCATGAAGCATAAAGAAATCATCAGCAGCTAGTACGTGAGCCTTACATTCCTCTCGTTATGTAGCTATTGCAGGAAATTTTCAATTGCACGATATGTGTAACTGTCTAAACTCATGATTTTATGCATTTTTTAGTTGAAATTTTTTGAAAAATAGAAAATACTTTATTTCCCCCAAAATGAGCACCAAGGGTTAGCAAAAGTCATCATAGAGAGCTGCTAGCTGCAGATATTTCTATATCTGACTTTACTTCACACACCAAGCCTTGGGACCCATTAAAGACTAAATTGGGAAAATATTACTAGAGAGTCATTCATTGTTTGGTTAGGAATCCATGAAGAAATTGGGCTTCCCAAACAAGAATTTGTACCATTGCGTGGGTTGTGAAAGAGGGTTTTTCCCATTAATTCAGTTACCGTCTCTCTTTGAAAATAGGATGCCTATGAAGGTAACAAATAAGTGATTCACATGCTTCCTGGGATGGTGACGATTTATTTGTATTACACACCCATAATATTCAAACATAAAAGAAGACATTACCCCAAAGTGCTTACTGTCTCAAAGATATAATAGGCAAAGGATGGGGGGAAAGGTTACATCAGAAAAGCAGTGTGAGCTGGTTGATTAGGCATATGCCGTGTTAGTTCGTTAACTCCAGTTGCATCTCTATCTAATCACTATAAACTTCTCCCCCCCGCAATTCAGCCTTCATGCGCCACGCATTGTAAACAGGTGTCTTGTTGGTTATAAGCAATGCCCACTCATTCTTAGTTCACTCCGAGGAGTATGGCTCTTACCTTCATTTTGGAAGCTTCTAACAATATTTGCGGATGGCATTGATGTCCTATCAGTGGCAAACCTGTTGTACAGCTCTAACATGTATTCTGGGGGCTCCACCTTAGCCGTTTCATGCAGGGGAATATCAGAGAGATTCAATGTCTTCAGGAACTCGTTTTTCATGTTCTGAAGCAGCGTGCTGAAATCAACGCCGTCCTGCTCCGAAAGGAGCTCGTCAAAGAAGGGCACATCTTCCTCCAGGGAAGACTGCTCCAGGCTCATGATGGGACTGCAAGCTGCAAGGTGCACCAACAGAGAGAGGGTTGCCCACAGCTGAATGGTGACAGTATCCATTCCTCCGCTCTAACCTCCAACCGCACTCAACAAGATTTAGCTCTCGTGTGGGCTAAGTGGCTATTTTATCCTCTGGGTTGTGTGCAGCTTGTGTCACAGAGTTGACAAGTTTGGAAGCCCTTGCCTGAAGCTTGTGATCAGTCCTTGCTTGCGCTCTCTCCCTCCCCCCACACCATCCAAAACCAGGTCTCAGTAATTGGATATAACACGCTCTCTCCTATGGTAGCCTTGCCTCTCTTATCTCTTGTAGTGTAAGCTGTCCACCAGATTTTCTGTTGCTATCTCACAAACCCCCTCTCCCTTAATGAGCATTTTGTAAACATTCTGCACTTGGACCCTCTGAGATAGGCCAATTTTCTCCTTGGACTGGATCTGCCCTTCCTTTTCCCCCTTGGAGCTGACTTTTTTTGGCATGTGTGGCCAACTTTTGTCCATGCAGCTTTGTTATGATTTCAACCGAACATGCAAATGACACAGAGCCTAGGTCTAGGATTCTGTATTCTATACCAACAGTAAATAAAAGCCTACTTAAATATTAACAGAGTTACACCTGTGTCCTTTGTCCCCTATTCCAGAGATAAATTGTCCAGCCCAAGTAAAGGCTTTACTTAGATGAAAAGCACTTTGAGACAGGGACCATCTTTTTGTTCTGTTTGTACAGCACCTAGCACAATGGGGTCCTGGTCCATGGTAATACAAATAATAAATAATAACGACAATAATAAGACCACGGGAGGCCCTGAAGACAATGGAACTGGTGTGATTATATTAAGCAGTAGAAGGCAGAAATTTTGCACTCACTGCAGCTGTGAGCTTGTGTTTATGCATTGTGGAAAAAGGTTTTGGGGACAGGAGAAATGCAGGCAGGGGACAGCCTCTGGCATGGCCAGCAGATCTGTGCCTGGTTCTCCTCTCCTACATACGGACACTGTGTACCTGTGCTGGCACCATCATCTTTGGCCCATATGAATAAAGGGCAATTAGCAAATGTTTTTAGCAGGATTTGTTTTAGCTAGTTATTCTCTTTATAAACCATTGTTTCCCGTTCAACCCAAAACAGCTACACCAGCTGACTGGGGAGGAGTTCTGCTCTGATGACCTCCACAGAAATGTTTAGAAACAAAATCAGCAGGGAGCACTGAAACCATTGCAAATGGCTCATAAAATGTTTATGCCACTACTGCTTCTCATGTGTCTGGCTTGGCAGGTTACATTCACTGATGAGCTGTGTTACATCTAGTGTCCTCATTTCATTTCCCACCAGTGAGCTTTGTGTTAACTGGCATGAAACGAAACCTTAAGGCCCACAGACTGCTGTAAATCAATGCACGGTGGCTGAGGGGCAGTACGTTGTGACCAGAATGGGTTGAAAACCACAGAAAAATTTTCATGGAAAATGTTCAACATGTTTTCAGAAAAAAAAAAAAAATTGGGGGTGAGGGAGCGGGGATGTTCAGAATTTTGAATTTTCAAAAAGTTTGAGTACTGCAGGCAAACAAATAAAACTAAGGGGCACAACTCTAGCTAACTTCATTAATGTTGCACTCATTTATGCAATTTTGAATAAGGACAATTGTATTTATTCAGCTTATTTTCACAGAGAGGAATTTTCATTAATTAAGAGCATCGAGCCATACATTTATGTCACCCTTTGTTATTTTGCTTCATTCAAATACTCTCCTCTCAAACAGCTTGACATTTTACTATGAAAGTTTAACAAAATAAATGACCAAGCTCATTTTTATTGTTACATATAGGCCCAGCTGGAATCAGACAGTCCTTGGAGAACATTCAGAGCGAGATCTGAATTTCATGGCTATCTATGAATCTGAACCTGAACCCCCAAACTTAGTCTGTATCTGAATTTTATGCTTTTGTGGATCTGAGCAGCCCAAAACTTAGTGAGGTTTTGGATCTGAACCCAGATCGTCATTATTTATTAATTAAAAAGTGAAAGCGCAAAGCTCCTTTCTTGAGTGATTCATCTCTTGGCTATGCTGCATGGGGGAGGGGGGGGGAAGAGAGTGACCTTACGTCCATCATGAAATTGAGATTAAGGAAGTCACAAGTTACTGCCTACAAGTTCTTCATGGTTTTCCATCTCAGAGCGTCTGTGTCTGACCATTCCAAGCGGGAATTGTGGCATTTAGACTGTTTTGGAAAAATATGTTCTGACGGGGTGTAGATTTACCACAAGGGCTGTGCTGCTAGCTACAGACAGAGGTGGTTTCAAAAGGTCCTGTTTTTTTATTGACTTGGCTTATGCAGAACACTGGACCCTCACCTCTGCCCTCCATCTTTGGCAGTCTCTTGCTGCATTCTTAGCTTCTTGCCATGTCCTGTTTTTTGTATCAGGATTTATTTCAGATATACCAGATGTGGTCAACACCAGGGGCCATGCATGGAACTTGTCAAACACCCGAAGGTTGCACTGATTTTGCATATAAATGTGCATACCTTTTGCAAGGAGGTGAGCATCTACTGAGAGGTAGTGTATGCTCTCAGCTTCCATTGACGTCAAGAGGTGTTGAAATCGCTCAGCAACTCACAGGATTGGGCCCTAACTGCCCTTATCATCAGTACATGGTCATATCTGGCTCTTCCTTGACAGATGGACAGAAATTGCTGCTAGAGTTCACCAGCAAAAAAATGCAGATCTGCATTTAAGTGCTGGGAAGTGTTTGAATCTATGGTTTTGCTCTGACCCATTACAAAGACAGGGCTTTGCCATGAGATTCAGAGCTGGAAGTGGGTTTTGTGTGTGTTTGTTTGTTAGGAACCAAGGTTTTGGTTTAGTTCTCACTCTATGGCTGTGAGTTGTGTTTTATAACTCCAGGGATTATCTTTGGTCTTTGGCCACATATTGGAACAAATTCTTCTCTCAGTTAAACCCACAGAAATCCAGAGTAGCTCTAGTGGAGTCACTCCAGATTCATGCCACTGTAGATTAGAATCTCTAGCCTACAGTGTAAGTTTGGTTTATTTGGCTATAAAATTACAAAGCATTACAATGATTGTCACATTTCACAGCCAGCAGACACCATAGTCATAAGTAAAGACTGGAGTATACAAGGTAATCTGACATATATCTCTGAAACCTATAAATGTGCCATCTCTCATTAATACCTTGTTACAAGCAGAATTACAGCTCAAACATTCTAAATCTCTTTGCATTTCCCCTCTTGTCCGATAACTCTTTGAACAATTCTCCTAAGGGCAACACAGCCTACTGTCTTACACAAACAAGCCACTGCTGAATAGCTTAGCTCACATGACTTAGCCCCGTACAGCTGTTGGGTGGTTGCCAGACGTACAGTACCACTACATGACATCTGGTATAAAAACAGTTTCCTGTTTCCTTTGCTTTGCAGGATGAAGAATTTAAACCATGCAGTTTTCTTGCTGAATTAAAAGGCTGGATTTCACAGCTTAGAAATAAGGCTGTTTTATTTCACTTTTCCACTGAAACTCATTTAAAAGAATTATAGGTTTTTTTTCATATATATTCACGTCATATGTGTGATAGAGATGAGCGGAAAAGGAAACGTCCTTTGAGCTAAACGCAGAAACCTATGCTAAACAGATTAAGCAGGCTAGCAGGAGAGGGAATATTACTGATCCTTGCTACTGTTATTAACTTTATGGCATTAACAGTGTGCCTGTTTATGAGCAATAAGTGACATGACAGGTAGGCCGCATTGTTGGGAAGAGAGCTTTACTGAGCATGCATGGAGGCCAGTGTTACATACAAACTGGGCTTCTCCTTCATCTAAAATCAGATTTAATTTACCTTTTTTGTTATTGGTAGCTAACCTGGACAAAACACTCTAAGGCACTTTAGGGAAGTTCAGGTGAGGGAATAGCATAAAAACAGAAAGATTATTTTAATTAGCACTCAAGTGGTAGATATAGCTCTGTTCTTTTGCTGTGTTTGTTTAACAGGTAGTTATTTTGGGATTAAAGCAAGCGAGTGATGTCTCTGCAAACATGGGGCCTGATCCCACTCCAACTGAAATAAATAGAGAGATACTCATTGACTTCAAAGGGACCTGGATCAGAATCATGGGGTGGCTGATAAGTGCCATGTAAATTTACAGTGCTAGCTACATTGTATTTTTATTATTAATGATACTGTAAATTCTCTTCTACCCTAGTGTCAGAGCGCTTCCCAGAGATGTGTTATGCGATGTGACTGACAATCCAAAGAAGGATGGGATAATTTTTTCCCCACTAATACATTTGTAGTTGTGCATGGTACGGTATAGCTAATGAAATCGCAAGCTTCTTTCTGGACTTAAGCTGATCACAACAGGGTCAGGGAACAATGTCTCCTCAGCACATGTAGCATGGCTCATTTGACATTATTTAAATAATATTTTGACCTTCCCTTGAAGATATTGACCTTTGCCAGAGATAGGATGGGCCCCTGGTCCAATCTGATATCACAGTTCTTATATCCCCATGAAAATTGGGGAACCTGGAACAATCCATGGACCACAGAAAGGATTTTCCCCCTTTTACGTGTTGAGCATGTCAGGGGTGATACTGCGCACCCTTAACTCCAGTTAACATCAGTGGGAATTGAAGGAGCACAGCTCCCTGGAGCAGCTCTGTTTTTCAGAGGGTCATTCCCTAATGGAAGTGGCTCCAAAATGAAATCTGATCTCGGGTCGCCTACACCTTCTGCCTAGCAGCGGCCACTCTGGGTTTCTTCTCTCATGAGGCAGTGGAATTGCAGGGGTCTCTGAAGGAATGTGTGACGCATGCTTGGTGCTGAAAGGCTAGAAAAAGAAGCAGGGCTTTTAAGAAGTGTCAAGGGCAAGGATATGCGATGATTGAAAGGGTGTGATCCTTATTTTTGCAAGAGGAAATGGGGAAGAAGAATGTGAAGTGATTTTTAATGGGGTCCCACCTTTCTTTAGTATAATTATTTTTTAACTGACGATCATCTGTTCTCATTACCCTGTCTAGAACTGAGCCTCCCCTGGAGAAAAAGTATGAGACTGTATGTGTGCCATCGAGTTTTGGATTTGAACTTGTGGGTAGTTCTTTTTCAAGTCTGGTACAAAAGTTTGTTAGTTAGGTATAATAAAATCTTGTGTCTTTCTCACAATATGAATCCAGTAAGGTAGATTTTAGAT